CAGGTGCCTGTGATACCCTCCCTGCAGGAGGCCCTCCACAACCTGACAGAAGACAGAGCTCAATTCTGGGTGGGACTGTCCCGCCCCTCCCCGGAGAAGGCCTGGACCTGGCTGGACGGCTCCCAGCTGGATCAGACCCTGTGAGTGATCCCATACTAGGAAGAAGCCAGTGGCTCTTTTTTGATCTGTGGCCCATCCTGCTCCACACAGACCTTTCCTCGGACCTCCAGCCAACCAGCCTGGGTTGCAGGAAAGGGTGGGGTTGGGAGTGGGGGATCTGGGTGGGAGGTTGGCTGCAGAAGAGGTCTGAGTGTGGGTGGTTTGGGAAGGAAGTGGAATGCAGGAGAGGGTGCGAGGTCTGAGTGTGAGGGGGTGGGGGTGTGAGGTCTGGGCATGGGGGGCACTTACATGGCTCCATGCCTCCCCACCCTAGCCCTCCCATTAGCCATGATTTCAGCCAATGGAAGAGTTTCTTCCATGGCAGCGTCGGCACAGCCCGGCAAGGAGGAGCCGTGGGGCAGGAGAGAGATGGGCAGGGCCTAGCGCAGCAGGGAGGAGGGAGCTGGAGCTGGGCTTGGGCCAGGGAGAGGCCGTTAGAGTCCCTGGGCTGGCCCTGGCAGTGGTGGGGAGGGGCAGCCCCAGGGCAGAGCTGGACGGGAGAACAGGGCAGCTGCGGATCCTGTTAGCACAGGGAAGAGCCGCTGCCGAGTGAGTGTGATGGACCCCAGGCGCTGACAGGGACCCTCTCCTGTGCCCCACAGGCTCAAGGTGCCAGGCCCAGCCCAGGAGAACAGCTGTGGAGTGGTGCAAGGGAAGCAGATTCATTCAGAAAGCTGCAGCTCTGGATTCCAGTGGATTTGCCAGCGAGACGCCGTCCTGCTCTGAGCAGGATACAGAGAAGACCTCAGAGCGTGGTGCCATTATCCCCGTGTCACACCTGGGGAAACTGAGTCACAGACACTCAGCTGCTCAAATCACACTGAGAACTGGTGGCAAAGTGAGACATGGAACCCAGGGGTGTCAGCTCATAGCCTGGCCTCAGCCTGTAGACGCGATTCCAAGCTCTGGCTTTGCCTGTTCCAGCAGGGGTGGGAGAACGCGGCAGGGGCAGGCCTGGGCCATTGAGTCAGGCTGCGCTCAGCCCTGGGGACATTTATCCCTAACCCCCTGAAAGAAGAGTCTGCCCCAGAGTCCCAGCTCATGTAAATCAGCCCAGAGCCAGTGTGTCTGTTTTTCACTCCTGTTAATTTCTGGAATCACTTTCCAGCCCCTCCATTTTTCCTGTCTATCCCGTGACCTGACACCCCTCTGCCATAATGGATCGTTAACTCCTGTCACGTTAACTCCTGTCACCACAGTCTCTACCAGCTCAGAGATTCACCACATGGATGTGCTGCCCAACTGCTGCCTTTAGGGTTGCTTTTCAAAGAACCTTCCTCTGCCCATGATCCCAAATGGAACCTTTCCCTGTGTGTCACCTGGCACTCTTTGATGTCACTTTCTCTGCCAAAGGAGACGAGTTAGGATGCTCTGTGGCAGTGAGGGAGACATGATGGAGAGGGTTGGAGGCTAATGAATTCAGTGGTCCAGCTGCTAAGGAGAGAATGAACATAAGAGCAGCCAGACTGAGTCAGACCAAAGGCCCATCCAGCCCCGTGTCCTGTCGGCCCCCAGTGTCCGATGCCAGGTGCCCCAGAGGGAGTGAACAGAACAGGGAACATCCAGTGATCCCTCCCCTCTCATCCATTCCCAGCCCCCGACACACAGAGGTCAGGGACCCCCTCCCTGCCTAGCCCCTGTGTAACCTCTCTTTCTGGAACCCTGTTAAAGCTCTGACCTTCGCAACATCTTCTGGCAAGGAGTTCCACAGGTTAACTCTGTATTGCATGAAGAAATACTTCTTTATTTGTTCGTTTTAAACCTGCTACCTATTAATTTCATTTGGTGAGTCCTTGTTCTTATGTTATGGGAACAAGCAAATAACTTTTCCTTATTCACTTGCTCAACATCAGTTATGATTTTATAGACCTCTATCATATCCCCCCTCAGTCTCCTCTTTTCTAAGCTGAGAAGTCCCAGTCTCTTT